AAACACAATGGGCTCTATTTTCGTGCCTGGCCGGAGACGTGCCGCAAGCGCAGCGTCAGTCAGATCTGCCGCGCTGACAAGGCGTTCCCAAGCACATTTTGGTATTTTGGTGAGCCGCGCAGCCCGGCGTAAGTATCCCCCCTCCCTAACTCAGCTCCTCCCAGCAGCTTAAGTCGTAGCGAGGGAGGAGATAGGGCGGAGAGTGGGTTTAACACAGCCGAGACCTGTTTTCACCAATCACATAAGCTCCTCTCCTTGCCTTTAAATCCGCCACAGGCGAGGCATATTACTATTTTCATGAAGTAGTCAAAGAGATCAAGAGATGTCTGAAGACAGTAATGCCACACGATGGCAACAAAGGGCAGCTCCTCAACAAGTGTCACTGTAAGCGCTGCATTGGGCGTCCTGCACACTCTCTCATCTGAGCACAGATGGATTTGGTGTGTGTAATGTTGGACCCACTGGTAAGACAAACACCATTTTCCAAAAATAAAGACACTCACATAAAGTTTCATATATTCAAACCTCACGTGACAAAGGTGGGTTGTGCGCACAGATCACAACATAAACTCCAAAAAGGCATTAAAATTGGACCCATCTGTGCGTAAATGACGCATCGCACTCCGTGGCCTGGCCCTTTCTTTCATAGATGTTGGCATATAAAATAAATTTGGCCCACAAAACTGAATATTATAATATCCGTATATAGGCTTAAAGTAGATAACGCATCTGAGCACTGAAACAAATCATCTGTTCAGCCGCAGCAGCAGCAAGACGGACAGAGGACACAGAGACATGTCCAGGTCGAGCTGTGCGAGAAATAAGAGGAAGAGGAAGAAAGAAAAGGAGGGAGACGAATTACATATCTTGTTAACTTCATCATGTGTGTTTATTTACTAGATATTTAATTTAATTTAATGCGGTTTCAGCTGTGTTGATTCGGTCAGGTTGTGTGTCCAAACGCGCGCCAAACGCGCTCATCAGATCAGATATAGATCAGAATATATCTATATAGATCTAAATGTATGTGCTGACTCAGATTATTAGTTGTTATTGATTATTTATTGCACTGAAATGTGCCTGACACTGTGGAAACCTGCCGGTGAGGCATCAGTGACGTATGTCGATATGTCGAAAATGTCACTGCGCCTGCTGATTCTGTCGACACCTCCCCCTGCCACGCCACCAAGCCCAGCTTGGCGGATCTCGGCTCGCCTCCGTGCGGTTCAGTCCACGAAAATACCAAACTGGCCGTACGCCAGGCTCCGCCAGACGAAAATACAACTGCGCGGGGTCCGCCACCCTCCATCGCCTCACCGGCGCGCGCGAAAATAGAGCCCAAGAAGTCTTTCAAGGACGGTAATGTTGTTAAAGGGGACCTGCCATCAAAATGTAATTTTGTGTGTTTTTTGTGTCAGATAAGGTCCATATTATGTTCGTCTTATGTTGTAAATGTGAAAACAAACCGTTTCGTTGTTTGCATTCTGTAAAGGTTTAAAATAAAGGAACGGGTAAACCAGGCCAATTGAAAAAGCAGGTCCTTTTGACGTCACGCTGACCTTGCTCATTATTATTCATGAGCGCGTCCTCGGTGAGCCGAGGTAAGGATAAACATGTTATCATCACGATCAGTTCAGTAAACACATTCAAAAGCAATGTGTTTACTTTCAAATCGGCTGCAACACTGTGACCTGTGAAACTTTCCTCACATGCAACCAGAACTTCAGCGTCAGGGTAAAAACTCTGCACAGCTTGATGGAGCCAGTTATGAAGAGCACGTTCAGAGCATCCTGTCAGAATTTGAGAGGCGTTTTACTGACTTTGTATCCATTGAGCCGGTTGCCAGTTATCTGAGTTTTCCTTTTGTGGAGGATATTGATGTGGATTGGATTGCCTCCAAAGTAGCATCACTGTTTCACCTGGATACAGCTGCAGTTGAGAATGAGGTTCCTCACATGGCAAAGTGACATTGAGGTCAAATCCAGGGCAACATCTGGCACTAAAGGAGACCTCTGGCACTTACTTCTGGAGCAAAAGTATCCCAACCTCAGAAGATGTGCCCTCAACCTGAAAGCACTTATTGGATCGAGCTATTTGTGTGAGACTGCATTCTCTCACATGAAGACCATCAAGTCCAAGTACAGGTCCACAATGACAGATGACCACCTGGTGGCCTGACTGAGACTTGCAACCAGCTCTTACTGCCCTGACTATGAGCAACTTGCTTCCTCCTCCCAGTGCCAGAGGTCCCACTAAGGTAGAAAATCATTTAAATGCAATGTTGATGTGTTGATTTCTTGTGTGCAGCAGTGTAAACACTCCAAATGTGTCACTGATAGGATGTCGGCAAGCACTATGAATGTCTGTGTTTATAAAAGTAGATCGCAACAGACTTCAAATGTTTAAAGTAGATCTTGGTTTAAAAAAGGTTGGGCACCCCTGGTCTACAGTGTTTTATGAAGTCCAGAGTCAACACAGCTTACAGACTTAGGGGCCTTTCTCATCCAAAGTCTGCTTAGAAGGTCCTAATCAGGGACCAAATGTTTACATTGTTGCATTTTGCATTTGGTCCGGTTGGTGTTCACATGCGACTTTTGATAAGTGAACCAAATGGTAAAAAAAAAGAGGGAAAATTACAAGGAAAAATCACTGTCTGTTACCTGCTCATTTGGGGCACAATCTCCGTCGTCCCACAATGCACAGACAGTAGCCACCCAGAGAGAACAATGGGTGTCTTGCTTTGTGCAATTCACTGGAAGTGGCAAAGATGTTGTGCGAGGAGATGCCGGGCATTAATGCAAAGGAATGCCTTTAGCAAATTGTCAGCATGTTTGTTGAACAGAAGAACACTCAAGTATTTAGTATTTATCCCCCGACTATTGTATTAGAACACAAACCCTCTGCCATTCGTCCAGTTTTATGGACAGTCCGGTGTTTTGACCGGCTGTTCTCTGTCTGCTGCAGCCTCCGGCCAGGCATGATTTCCTAGCTTTATTACTGTGTAAATGTGTTATTGAATATTGACATATAAAAAGTCCGGCTGCATCAGCACTACGTTCACACCTGCCTCAGACCGGACCAGGGTTTGTTTGGAAGGGGACCAAGACCTGTATTTTTAAGAGGACCATGATCTGTTTGTTTGATCCAGACCACGGTTCCCTTTCGCGTTTATACCACCCGGACCAAAGGAGTGAGGGGACCATGGTCCTTTTGGATTGAACCAAATAGTCCTGGTATGAAAGCGCCCTTACTTAACTCACATAAAGACTTCCCTTTCCAGCAGGACCTGACACCCACCCACAGCGCCAAAACTACCAGAAACTGATTTGCTGACCCTGGTATTACTGTGCTTGATTGACCAGCCAACTGATCTGACCTGAACCTCAAAGAGGATCTCTGGGGTATCATCAAGAAAAAGATGAGGGACAGAGCTCAGAGCTAACGATACAGCTATCACAACAGCCTGAACTTCCTAAAACCCCAGCAGAGACACAGACTGATTACCTCCATGCCACATCATGCTGATGCAGTAATTTGAGCAAACGTAGCCCCGACCAAGTACTGAGTGCATAAATAAAAACAGCTTTCCAGAAGGATGACATTTCTTTATTAGCCTATACATCCTTCTTTTGAGGGCCCCACAGCCTTCATTTGACCACTGGTACTTAAATTGTGTGTATTGTACATAGTTTTATTTTTTCTTCTCCCTTTTTCCTTTTCTATTTTTTTTCTTAATTAGACCATTTATTTAAGTTCTTAATATACGATCTTTATTTTTATAACTGAATTTTTGCACTTTGTCTGTGATGCTGCTGTGACAAAAAAATTTCCCCCATGGGGAATCAATAAAGCTATATTCTATTCTATTCTATTCTGTTTTGACAGATTTTATACACCAGTACCATGCCCACTGTGACTGGTTATTTTGTTTACATCAGCAATATTCCCAATTTATATACATTGTTAGAAGGAGGAAATATTATACAAATCCTTCCCTTTTCAGAATTACTGTCAACCTTTAGTTGATGTACTATTAAAATGTAAATAAAGATGAAAAAGTCCGGGATTAAAACCATTTTCTGCAAAACTTTTATCTTCTAACACTAGATGGCGGCACAGTCACATGTTACACCCATGAAAAAATCCTCATGTTGCAGTTCATTAAGGGGATTATTAGTTATTATCCATTATCAGTAGAATCATTTGAGTTACTAAATATAATCCTTGAATTATAATCCAGATTATCTCTGGGCTGTGTGGTCAAAGTTGTTGTTTTGTTTCCTTCGTGTAACATCTTTTAGAGGAGAGTTTAAAATACAATCGCGCACATATTTCAGAGTTTTTCAGAATATGTGTTTCCTGCTTGAACCTGATACAGCTCAAACTTTCTATCCTATTTGAATGGTACTGTCATTTCTCTGTCATGTATTTTCATTATGCAAATTATGTTCATGGAAACAGTATGTAAATGTTTCAATATTGTAAGCACAGTGCATGACATTTTACCTTGACAGAAGTGAAAATTTGCATTGGGCAACACTTTTGCAAACCAAAGTAAACAAACAATTACATAAAATGAAATAAAAGGAATTCATTTGATATTTCTCTTGCTTTTTAAATCCGCCATAAAACTATATTTCTTTAATGGGCAAGAGTGAAGAAAAAGTCAGTAAAAGCATCAAGTTTAATCAAATAAAGATGTTAGGGTTAAACATTCTCTTGGAATTAAATATTTCAGTTATTTTAAAAGGCATCACTCATTAAATTTTCTTTTTTACTTCGGATTTTTTTTTATTTTTTTATTTTATTTAGAAAATACTGTATATCTGGATTTTGCAAGGTCTTCAAAAGAATCATTTGAAAATTTAGTCATATTTCACTTTTACACTGTGCTGCTAACAGAAGTTTCTGATTTCCTGTTCCTGTGTAAACATTTTAGGGTGTCCAGACTCTGAGCATATGGCAGAAATTGCAACTATACTACCTAGGAATTCTGGGAAATGGAGGCAAGTCTTAAGCATTGCTTGGTTTGTATAATAATGGAAATATTTCCATCATTTATGATAAGACATTGAGGTCAGAGTGGGTTTAATCTCTCTCTTTCTCTCTGTGTAGACAAAAGGACAGACGGCTGGCCTCTGGTCTACTCTCCTGTGCCTGTGGGTTGTATTTTTCTCTGCTACCTGTTCATCATCTGGGTGGGACCAAAGCTGATGGCCAAAAGACAGCCAGTCAACCTCAAACCTGTGCTGATAGTTTACAACCTTGCCATGGTCTGCCTGTCTGCATACATGTTCTATGAGGTAAAACTGTGCACGGAAACATCCCTTTAGGGTGAACAGGCTTAATTTGCCTCACTTTTTTATTGTGTAGAGGTCTTGTGGTAAAGTGTGAGTGATAAACTCTCAATAAAACAGAAGACAAAGAGAATGATAGCTGTGAAAAATAAAGTATCTTATGATTAATAACTCTTTGGGAAAAGTAAGTTTTTGAATTCACTGAAAAGAGGATTGATGAATTTGAGGCACAACTGACTGGGCTGGTGAGCGGTGCAGTCCCTGATGACAGAGAGGCTGACAGCCTGCCTCTGGTAGGTTCACTGAAAGTTTGGTTCAGTCAGCATTTCAAACATGGCAACAAAAAGGTGTCAACACTCCACCAACAAATGGGAGCCCTCACAATGACTGGGTCCATGTATTATTCAGTCTATGGGCTATGAAACAGTTTTTGATATTTTTGCCTCTGAGTTTATGTAACTTTAAGCAACGAAACCCTCAACATGACTTACACAGCAATGCCTACAGAGTTTTTTATTTAAGCTCAGTCTCACCCTTTAACAGCCGACACACTGGGCTTTGATAAGGTTAAAGCTGTCATACGGTGCTCTAAATCTGCATCAACTTTGGCGCCCCCTGTGGATGAAGCAGTCTTCGCATATTTTGTACTCTGCTAAGTCAAGTAAGTGTTTATATAGTTTTTTACATACTACGAGGACTATTGGTTGTCATTATGCAACATAACAATAAGATGCAGTCTGTAGCTGTGTTAACCACTAATTTCCTGTGTTTTAGAAAGGTCCAAAAAAAAATCTATATCCTTTGTCTGAATGTATCTGGACTTTTAAGACAAATGCAAACACATAAGACCAACTGAAATCACACTGAGCTGACCTGAACTTCTCATAGTTAGACTAATTTATCTAGGTAAAGCATGTAGATTGATATTCTCTCATGTATAATCTAGTTGGACTAGCCCAGGGGTCGGCAACCTTAAACACTCAAAGAGCCACTTGGACCAGTTTCCCACAGAAAAGAAAACACAGGGAGCCACAAAACCTCTTTGACATCTAAAATGAAGATAACATTGCATATATCTTTTTTTTTTTACCTTTATACAAAGTATATAAAAAACTGTAGCGAGTTGCATTTATGAAATAAATGAACTATTTCGGCGAGTGTCTGTCTTCTTCTGTAGTTAAACCGCAAGATATCAAAATCTACCCGGATACAGCAATGCTGCTTTTTGATTGGCTGTTCAGTAGATATACTTTATTTGATTGGCTTGTGCGTGGCACGCAGCTTCTGAACTCTCGGAGAAACTCAGTTGATTTCCCCCTGTTCCGTAGTTGAAGAAGCGCAACTTGGTGGACACCACCGTGTTCATTTAAATGTGTGAGAAATACAATGTGTGGTGTGTGAGCGTGTGAACGAGTGGGAATGCGTGTGTCATACGCTGAATGCGTGAGACTTGAGAGCCCTGTGCTCACGCATCATCGATGTACTCCCGAGCCATGCAAAACGGTCTTTGCAAATGTTGCACTGAACGCCTTCCTTTTCAGTCTTGGTAAAGTTTTCCCACACCACTGATGTTTTAGGTCGGGATTTGGGTTGGGTTGTGTCCATGTTTTTCTCAGCCGCTGCCTCGGCCATGGCTGTTTCTTTTCTGTGCGTCCTGCTGATGTTTACACGCCGGTGTCCATGGACATATATAAAGACCCGACGAATCGATTACAGAATTTGTTGGCAACGGATTTTTTCGTCACGACGAATCTACTTAATCGATTCGTTGTTGCAGCCTTAATAGTTTATTTAATGTTACAAGAGCATTATAATCTTTGAATTTAGAATTACAAAATAATAATAATAAAATAAAATAAAATGCAATTAAGTATTTATTATTTATTTTCCAAATCCATTGGGAGCCGCAGCTTAGGGAAGAAAGAGCCGCATGCTTCTCCAGAGCCGCGGGTTGCCGACCCCTGGACTAGCCTTAGCATTCTGCATATGGTCTAGAGTTCACATGATGGGCTTTGATCGAGAAGTTGAGTAGTATTAACTCAGGAATCTGGGTAGTGAACTACAACTTGACAGAAGAAGAAAGGAAGCAAAAAAGACAAAGCTGTCATGTCGTGTACAAGAAGGTACAGAGCTGTAAAATTTATGTATTTATCCTTTCACATACACTCTGTTAGCCACTTGCTTCGCCTCTTCTACATGATGTAATAAGTCAGAGACATCCCAGTATTAATAAGCTACCATCTGAGGTGGACATGCTTCTGTTGATAGTATGATTCTTGCCCAGTGCTTGTGCACTGGGGCAAGGACAGTAGTCCACTGAAATCACCTACTAGAGCTTTAACTGTAGTTTGACTTGACTGTGCATGTAAATGTGCTGACAGCTGTTTCCAAGTCCCACTCAACAGCAGCAGCTTTCTGGGTTTGTGCAGATGGGTTTACAGTTGACACACCTACACACCTTACATCTCTCTGCTCTGCTCTGCTCTCCAGCAGTTAATCCCCTCTCTCTGTTGCGTTTTATTTTTCCTCGCTGTACATGAAAGAAAAGGTGTGCCATCGTTCTTGTCAAAATCGCTCATTTTCAGTTTTGGTTGTCTCTCTGTTCAGCACACTGATCAGCTGCAGGATGAGGAACACAAGAGTGGTGCATTTGAAAACAGCAGAAAAACAAAGTGGCTTTTTGACAGAAGATTTCTAAGCATGCGCTAACACTGAAATTCATGTTTTTATCGTGGCTTCTTAAAATGACCAGATCAATGTGAAAAAATTGATCCTTTCAACAGCAACTGATAGCCTAGCTTTCTTGTTGGTTCTACCCCCAAGCTGATTAAGCTGAAATTTGCTGGATAAAGCACTTACTATTAACAAGGACCACATAAAACCAAATTAAAAACAACCAAACCATACGTTTGTTTTTGTGGTGCTATTATAAAAAACAGAAAAAAAAGACTGAACTTTAAAGTCTTACTTTTTTTTTCAAGGCAGCAACTATCTTCATTTTTTTTTTCTTTACAGTAGATCAAGTGACACTGAGAAATGTTTATTTGTTTGTTCAACACTCACAGTAAAATAACAGCCAACACTGCAGCTCATGACGGGTCTGCAGAACTCTAATTTATAGCTCTGTACGTTGTTTGCACCCTACTGTCGATTTAAGGTGTCACTTTGTTGCTGTTTTTGTTGACAGCTTGATTCTGCCATCAAGGAAAACTGTTTCTGCAGGTGTTAAAATCCTCCTCAGATGTAAACTTCAATGATACTGCAATGATTTTATCAATCACAGCAACTCAGTGGGCTCTATTTTGGTGCTTCGCCGGAGATCTGCCGCAAGCGCAGCGTCAATCAGATCCGCCGCGCTGACAAGGCGTTCCCAAGCACATTTTGGTATTTTGGTGAGCCGCGCAGCCCGGTGTAAGTATCCCCCCTCCCTAACTCAGCTCCTCCCGGCAGCATAAATCATAGAAGGGGAGGCGAGAGGGCGTATAGGGGTTTAACACAGCCGAGACCTGTTTTCACCAATCACATTAGCTCCTCTCCTCGCCTTTAAATCCGCCACAGGCGAGGCGTATTACTATTTTCATGAAGTAGTCAAAGAGATCAAGAGATGTCTGAAGACAGTTATGCCACACGATGGCGACAGAGGGCAGCTGCTCAACAAGTGTCCTCCACACTCTCTCATCTGAGCACAGATGGATTTGGTGTGCGTAATGTTGGACCCACTGGTAAGACAAACACCCTTTTCCACAAATAAAGACACTCACATAAAGTTGCATATATTCAAACCTCACGTGACAAAGGTGGGTTGTGCGCACAGATCACAACATAAACTCCAAAAAGGCATTAAAATCGGAACCATCTGTGCGTAAATGACGCATCGCGCTCCGTGGCCTGGCTCTTTCTTTCATAGATGTTGGCATATAAAATAAATTTGGCTCACAAAACTGAATATTATAATATCCGTATGTCGGCTTAAAGTAGATAACGCATCTGAGCACTGAAACAAATCATCTGTTCAGCTGCAGCAGCAGCAAGACGGACAGAGGACACGGAGACGTGTCCAGGTCGAGCTGTGCGAGAAATAAGAGGAAGAGGAAGAAAGAAAAGGAGGGAGACGAATTACATATCTTGTTAACTTCATCATGTGTGTATATTTACTAGATATTTAATTTAATTTGATGCGGTTTCAGCTGTGTTGATTCGGTCAGGTTGTGTGTCCAAACGCGTGCCAAACGCGCTCATCAGATCAGATATAGATCAGAATATATCGATATAGATCTAAATATATGTGCTGACTCAGATTAATAGTTGATGATGATTATTTATTGCACTGAAATGTGCCTGACACTGTGGAAACCTGCCGGTGAGGCATCAGTGACGTATGTCGATACGCCGCCAGTCTACCAAAATACTACAAGACCAGCTGCGTTCCGCCTTGCGCTGAAAGCTGACCAGGTTTGAATCGGCGAGCTTTCAGCGCACTTTACACGCCGTTGGCGAGCACGAAAATGTCACTGCGCCAGCTGATTCTGTCGACACCTCCCCCTGCCACACCACCACGCCCAGCTTGGCGGATCTCGGCTCGCCTCCGTGCGGCTTATGCCACGAAAATACCAAATTGGCCTTACGCTGGGCTCCGCCAGACGAAAATACAACTGCGCGGGGCTCGCCGCCCTCCGCCGCCTCACCGGCGCGAACGAAAATAGAGCCCAGTGTGTAAGAAAGTGGGATGACTAAAAAAAACAAAGTTGAGATAAAAGCTACTTCTCTCTTTTCAGTTTACAGCCTCTTCCTGGTTGGCCAAATACAGCCTGCTGTGCCAGCCTGTAGACTACAGCGACAGCCCGCTGGCCATGAGGGTAATGCTTTCAATTTATCAAAGTAATATTTAATGCCATTTTTTTTTAATCAAGCCTTGCTCTGAAATAAGTTTAAAGCATACAAAGACTTTGGTGAAATAATCTTAATCAATGAATTCTTAAAATGGAATTAACAATATGTCTAGATGTAGGGGAGACCAGGTACGGTTGTAACACTTTTTGTTTTAGTTCCCATAAATCACTGAATTTTTGAGCTGCAGCTGCAAATTTTTTACACCAAGTACCCACGTTTATTTACTACAAATGGAGTCAATTCGAACCTCTGCAGGAATATCACAGATCTTGTGGGTTAACATAACATAAACAGCATCCTTTACAACAACCTACCATACTTCAGGGGTGATTATAACACATGCAGGAGTTAGTGATAACAATTTGATAGAACAAATGCAAAAAAAAAAAAAAGAAGAAGAAAAAAGGGACTACACCGTGTAATAGACTAACAAAGTAGTTTGTAAATGATTTTTCAGACATATGACATATTTTTTACCCTGTTTGGCAGATGGCCAGAGTCTGCTGGTGGTTCTACTTCTCCAAAGTCATAGAGCTCAGTGACACTGTGAGTGTGGACGGTGGGATATTAAAATATTTTTTCCAAAGTTTTCCATTTGTTATTCCAGAGTCAAATTTTTTTTTAACTAATCCCCAAATAAATTCGGATCTATAACTGTACATACAATATCAGTATACACCTTGCCTCAAGTTTAAACACATACAGCTTCAAGTTCTTCAAGCAAACCAGCTTCTTGTTTCTCTATGTTTTCAGATATTTTTCATTCTGAGGAAGAAGAACAGTCAGCTGACCTTCCTCCACATCTACCATCACGCCACTATGATCTTCAACTGGTGGGCCGGGGTCAAATATGTAGCTGGTGGGCAGTGTGAGTGCACGCCAACAAGCTGATCAAATCTCACTAAACAGCCCTGAAAAGAAGACAAATTACTCTAAAACTTCTCAGAGGAACGTTTGATTTGATGTCCTCTGTAAATCAAGCAGTTTCTAGTTTTATTACATGATGTTATCTTGTACATGTGTTTTCTAACATTTTTTTTTTTTTTTTCAAAAGTACCACTCAACATCAAAAACACAATGTTTTTTTTTCAGTGTGTGCTGTCTCATCTCTCCTTGTGAATGTTTTAAAGCATCTAAAACTACATAGAAACCTGATTTGCTGTTGTAGGTCATGAAGATGCATTAATATGAATTCTATTACATAGTGGCTCTAACCATGTTTATCTAAAAAAAAGAAATGGTTTGAAAGATCTCGCCTTGTGTGTCTGCCTTCAGCTTTCCTGATTGGTCAGATTAACTCCTTGGTCCATGTGGTGATGTATCTGTACTACGGTCTGGCAGCGTTAGGGCCCGCTATGATGAAATACCTCTGGTGGAAACGCTACCTCACAACGCTGCAGCTGGTCAGTTTCTCTGTGTTTACACTTCATATTTACCTGTATTTGTGTCTGTTTCATTAACTGGGTGAAGCCTCCATGAGAATAGCACCCTCTGGTGACAGGCTGCAGTATAGGTCAAAAATCCGGCCTCCTCCGGCAATCCCTATGGAGCTGTGGACAAAGTTACGCAGAATATTTTTTTTCCCCTCTTGTTGCAATGTTGACATGTAGTTACTGAAAGACTGGTTTGCGCTCAAGTCCTCTTTTTTTCTCTGCAGCTCCATTTTTAAAAGTTATTAGGGGGTTCATGGTTTTTTTTTAATGATTGACACTTTATATAGCCTATGAAGATTGTGTACATCATCTAGAGATGGAAGGCGGAGCCAAGTTGTCCATCGAATATACAGTCCATGGTTCAGACACTGGGATGAAGAAACTGCTCTCATGAGTATATCTATAAAAGGCTGTGTAGCATTGTGTTTTTACTTACATAACATTTCAGTATTCTGTGTAACAGTCAAAATCCTGATTTAAAATAATGTTGATAAAAATAATGAAAACAACACAGAAAATGAAGCTGCGTACTTACAGTAACACAAATTAATAATAAATCATATCTCATCAAAGGACAGCATTCAGTGAGTACATGCAAAAAAAAAAGCACAAAGTATAGCACAACAAGTGAGTTAATTGATTTTATATCATATAATATGTTTGAAATATGTTGGAAAAAAAGGAAAGATTTTTGGTTACAAGCAAAACATGGCCAACCAAACAACAAAGACATACTTTTGTACTACAGAGAATAGTTTTTTTTTGTCCATAAACCCTCTGTTACAACTTGTACACAATGCTTTTGACTTGAAAACAGACACAAAAAAAACTCAGATGTTCCAGGCAATGCATGCCTCTTTCTTTTCCGTTTATGATGAATATACTAATTATGTTCTGTTTGTTGTCTCTGTAATAAACTGCATAATGTGGCAACAAGCCAACATTTCTGAAGGGAAATCAAGGCATATGAACAGTATGAACCTTTTAGCTAATCCACTGTTAATCACAACTGCTTGTCAGCCTATCTGCGGTGGAAAGTATGCACACCTAGCGTAAGGTTAGCGCCCAGCATCTTTCACTCAAAGCCTTCATGTCCACAATCACTGATAACTTTTCACCTTAATATATTACAGACATGTAAGTAATAAAAATCAGCCTGCTCTAAACATTTTCATAAATGTGAAAATGATCTAAACTAGTTCTCAAAGGCTGATATAAAGGAATTACATGGACAGAATGTTTTAAGATGAACTTTAAAACAGGAGGCTGAATGGAGACTGGCTCACTTTTGAAGACAGATCCTGGTGGACACTTAGTGAACAGCAGTGTCTGAACTGTAGGCTAATAAGATGGGGCTTCCCTGGCTGTTCCTCTTCTGCTCTGCAAATACGTGCATACAACACTGCAAAAGTCACATATATCAACAGAGCTGCCAATTACGGTGCTATACCATCCAAAAAAACTCATCTTCTTAAAAAAAAAAAAAAAAAAAAAAAGACACGTTAATATGCATAATAAAATACTTGAGAAGACATGTTAAAGATATTTTTCGTGGAAGGTACTGTATATTATAAGTTTTACCCACCTGGTTCTATTAAAGAGGCAGACCAACACTGCAGTCAGTCAGCAGACGGAGCATTAAGTCTTTATACTTTGTTTGTGGTGAGCAATTTTTTAAACTATGGGTGAGGACTCATGGGGCATCAATATGGCCAACTTCCTGGCTGGTGAACATGTTACTGTTTGCATATGAACACACACCTATGTAAAGCTATTGTCTGTCAGAATATATATATGCACAGGTAAGTTGAGCTGTGGTCAGTGGTGATATAACTGGACTGAACTGTCATTGTCCCAGTTTATAAGCACTGGGCAAGAATCGAACAAATAATAGAGATGTGTCTTCCTCTGCTACCTGCCTTCTTTCAACTCTTTCCTACTGGTTCATCTACCGGCTGATGTATTACATATTAAAAGAGTCGGAAAAAACATAAGAAGAGGGGAACAGGATGTAGATTAGTGATGCAAACATTGTCACTTCCACAGCTCTGTATTGTTTATCAGGAAAGTTTAAGCATTTTCACATTCTTGCCTCATGTGTCAAGCTTTTGTTTACTACCTGGCTTCCTAGCAACGCACCCATGCTGTTTGACCACTGACTCAGGGCCTGGTGTGCAAAAACTGGCGTATGCGCAGAACACTTCATTTCTTAATTTCGATTTCGCTGTATATGACAAAGAAAATTGACCTCCAACAACATTAACAGTGTATGGTAATCCGACGATAAAAAGCTCAATTCAGATTTTTAAAAGTCCAGCTTCAGTGGGACCAGGCAGTAAATTGATTCTTTGAACCACATGAAATGTTCTTTGTATTTTTCCCTCTTAAATCAGTTTCCATATTTATGAATAATCTCAAAATGACAAAAAAAACTTGTTTTTGTTGTGTAAGTGTGATCGTTTTTCTTCCTCCATAAGGCCACCTGCTCAGCTCTTCATTGTCTTCGTTGGCTGTTGTAATAATCAGTCGGCTTAGACGTGCTGATGCTGCTCAGCTAACTATTGGACCATCTGTTTTCTTCTCTGTAGCGCTGATAAAGAGACAATACATTTCCTAAGTTTATTTTTCTCTGTATGGCTTCAACATATATAGGTCAGAGTGGTGACTGACTGCCATTATGTAACAATAACAAAGTTGACCCCAGAGTTGACCCTCAAGCCTTCATTAACAGTTGGCTTCACAGTTTGGTGAACTGAGGCTGAAAAATGGAGTTAATTGAGGACATTGGTGATTTCTTTGTGTGTTTAAGGAGGTTCTTTTGTGGTTTTGTAGAGGAAGTCATACATTTTCATTGGATGGGGAGATGTTTGTGTGGAGTGGGAGACATGGAAGCAGCGCTCATTGTGTCCATTCATAACCATTCATAATGCCTGCCTGCTAAATACAATAGTAAAGCTAAGCATATGGATATGAGCCAGACGACAATAACCAAGGTGGATTGTTAGTTACATATTGAACTGTTATTAAAATTGTCTCTCAGTTGCAGCCTATAAACTTAATTAGACAAACACCTATATGTCTGTCTGAATGTACGAGCTGCTCTTGCAAGCAAAGTAGGATACTTTTCTCAAGTTGTGAGTTTTTCATGAGGTCTTTGCCTTCAAGGATGCACAAGAGTTAACCTTAAAGGGATATTCTGGCATAAAATTAAGTTGGGGTCAAACACACCGTAACACCGAGTTAGACTTTACTTTTCTAGTTATATCAACTTTAGTAACGACCGCACAATGGCAATACACAGCTCTCATTACTTCATCATTTCCTTGAAGTAATAATCATCATATTAATCATTTTGCACTGCTGACGCAGTAGTTCTTCTGCCTTAGCATCTTGGTCTGATTGTATTTCCATAAGGAAATGATCATAAATGTTCTTCTTTGAGCTGTGTAACCCCACTGCAGTCTGTGATGGACTAGTCCGAGGTCTCTGTACAAACAATTGGCTGCTGGAGGACAGTGGGTGAGTTGTGTTAAGTCTCTTTGCCAAACAAACCAGGCAAAAAGATGTTTGGTGGCCAGCACTATGGCTTGGACCCTGTATGTACTGTTGATGAAGTTAGGTGCTGTTCTGAGCATTATTTGTGGCTATTAAGTGGCTCTTTGGTTGGGTGCATGGCTCCTAAGATCGCTGTGTATTGCTATCATGCGGCCGTTACTAAAGTTGGTATAACTGGAGAAGCAAGCGGTCAACAACATTCATCTCTCGACAGGATGTCTAACTCGGTGTTATGGTGTGTTTGACTTGCACTTAATTTATCGCCGGAATATCCCTTTAATGTTTAAACCTGTTGAAAGTTTTACAGTCTGCCTCCCCTCCTGCAGCACTGCAGAGTGTACCATGATCCAAGTCCTGTAAAAACTTCAGTCCAAACTAGTTATATCAGGAAAGATCTGCTGATTACTTAAGATTTACAAATGCTGTACAATCTTGCTCAAGTTTTCCATAATCATCTACAAATGTAAGACTTCTGTGGTAAACAATCTCCACATTGAGTCTCCTTTTGAAGGGAATTAAAGCTCACTTGGCTCAGCAATAACTAGATCTCTCATCTTTCCACGTGTGTTTAGTAGTGTCATTCATGTGCAAGGGTTGGCTTTTAAAGCTAAAGTGATTGCAACTAACTCACCACTACATGCGCTCCACCTCAGTCTATACTGTCTGCTGCTACAGTGCAACATTGATAGTTAATGTCTAATGTTTGTTTTTTACCTTGCCCTCTTATTCCCCCTATCTGTCTGTCTGTCTATCAGCTCCAGTTTTTCATCGTAACCGTCCACACCACCTACAACCTGTTTGCTGACTGTGACTTCCCTGATTCCATGAACGTGGTGGTGCTGGCCTACTCACTTAGCCTCATCGCTCTCTTCAGCAACTTCTACTACCAAAGCTACCTCGCTAAAAAAGATAAAGTGAGAGAGACAGACAAGGTGCATTAACATCTACAGTGAAATGGAGGAAAATGCGAACATGAAAGGATTAAAAACAGAGAGGTGGTGCACAGAAAACAAAGGATAGACAACAGAGGCCTCTGTTGGTTTGTTATGGTAATTTCATCATGGTAATTTCATCATGTTAATTTTTTTAATGACACTTGCAGCTCAATTTTATATGTTAAAAAAAGAGAAAATCACCATATGTAGACCTTTACGATAGCATCTGAAAATGAAGGAGTGTATTCTGTTTTTAATAAAATCAATCATTTTGAAGCCATCTGAGGGATTGTTTTTTTTTTACTTTGAATCATAGATTATCCTTTCTGATCATGCATCCAGCTCAAAGCCCCCAAGAAAACACTCAACACACATTAACCCTGTTTCATCAGCCCCTTCCCCCAGCTGCTAACATATGAGACCCTCTAATCACCCCTGAGTTGCTTTATTCTTGGCCGTCACCCATTGGCTCGCAGGAACAGCCAATGAAATCCAGGCTACTATTAGCGCCATCTCCTCCATACTCCGTCTTTTCCTCCCCTTCTTTAAATCACAGTCCTCCCCTCCCAGCTTCTAACATTTAATCCATTTTGCCAACTGGGAAACCCCGGCCCACTGCACAAACCCCCCAGCTCCATCTGTCAGGATGTTTAAACATAATTGCCTGGAAAACTCTCCCCCTTGTGGACAGAAATGAAAGATCTATTAGGAGGTGAATGAATTACTCATCTCTGCTTCCTTTACATTTTATTCCCCCTGCTTGCATTGCTTATTCCCATTCTGCTCACTATCTGTGTTTCTGCTTTTATCTCAGGCAGCACATTGGTTTGGACTGTCCTCTGTTCCTCACTCAACAGGGGGCAGACAAAATAACAGATCACCGCATGAAAAAAGCACTTTGAAGTCAATAAACCAAAGTTTCAGGGGCAGCTATTTAAGCAGGTTTTTATTAATCCCCACCTGCACATTGTGGAAGCTTCACGGAGTTCGAACAATGAACCCTGAACACGTAACTTTGTTCAAAAACAACATGAAACAAGTTATAAAGAAAACAGAAGCCAAAGTCTTTGCAAAAGAGCTTGAAAATTTTGAATACACTCCATGTCTTCTTAAACTGCCCCTTAGTAATAATACAACATATTATGTACTGTCTGTATGTACTGATCAAGTACCATGCAAAAACTGTAACCACATAAACATTCAAACCGGTTCATTCACTGCACGACATGCCCTCCACACTCCACACTTTTCACTCTAAACAGGAATAAAACAATTCCATAATTCACATCTGCAGGAGACCTTAAACACTTGGCTAACTACAAACATAGTTAAGGTTGACTACATTGTGGGTATTTGTTGTTCTGAAACAATTTACCAGATAATCTGACCGCTTCACTCACTTCCCTCCTGTTTGCAGTGTTCAATGAATGTGGCTAGGTTTTGACAGTTTTTTAGTTGTGTTCTTTTTTGCAGACTAGATAGTCCGAATTTTAGATTCCAACCTGGATGACCAGGAGATTACCTGCCCTGGAACACCACAATATTTCATTTCACAGCCACTGTTGTGTGAGAAAACATTAAGTCAGTTCATTTAGGACCAATTTAGTCAAGAGGAATGAATTATTTGCATGCACTGGTTATATTTAATTGGTATGGCTATGTGCTGTAAGCTTCCTGGCCTTTTACATGCATATGTAGAATGCCAAAGTTAAACACCTTCCCTGTGTGTTAGGCACATATATGAAATTCCAAGCCAAGGAGAGCAGCAACAAAGACTTAAAGGTATAGAACAGAGCAGGCGTCAGTGACAACATGTATGACATTGGTAAAATCAGACACAGCATCAAAGGGAGGACCTGAGGTGGAGGTGGGTTGCAAAGCAGTTTTCAGAGGAAGCTGCAATAGCTTTGTGTCGTTCATGAACATTTTGTTCATAAGAACTTCAGAGTGAATAGTGAATAGCTTGTAGCTCTCCAACGTGAATAGAATCACTCCAAGACCTGATTCGTTACTTTCTCAGTTCAGTTGAGCTCAGCCGCAACGTGGCATGCTGGTCAAGAGTGGAACTGCCCCCTTTGACTCTTTGGCGGACAACAGAGCCAGCCAGCAGGCAGGTGAAGTCTTGCGACTTGCTCATAGCGAATGAATGACATGTATCAGTCAGACTGTTAACAAAGCAAATGACTTCCGAACATCTTGAGGCAGGCAGAGGAGGGAGGGGCCTAGCATCGTTCACGAACTGCTGAGCACCGGTTCGTTCACTGTGAGGATGAATGTAGGCTAAGATAAAACAGTGCATTATGGTGTCTTTACGTGTCTATAAACTTTCCTGCAAGAAGTATTTGATTTCAGCCAATTTAAAGCAATCGGCTATTTGATATCTTTAGAGTATCACAATCTCTGCTACAGCTGTAATGTTTATTTATTTTTAATCTTTCCACTTTTCTGAGATATAAAAGAACAACGACTCGCGCTTGTTAAGCGAGGGTGCTGCTTGCTGCTGTGTTGTTTCACTTTTGTTGCAATGCGAACGTCAGTGGCACACAGAGAGGTGAGTTTTTCAGGGCAGGGGAGTGATTCTTCCTTTATGACTTGGCAAATGAATATGTCACCGAGTGAACGACTGTGACTTCAGCAGCAGGGAAGTAGAGGGACTCGATCAATGAACGAACTCCAGATCAGTGCCGCTGTGTCACTCATTGTTTACTGCATCCGGCAGGACAGGGCTCCAAAGCACTGACTGATTCAGTGAATGAATAATTATAATGAATGGATTCTAAAGATTCAGTACAGTCAAAAGAACTGTTCTTCCCATCACTAAGCTGCAAGAGAAGGCAAGCTGTCATAGTTTATCTAGTTTAACCAATCTTGACATTGTATAGTTTGGTGCATAGCTGGATCAGCTGATCACTGTTTTGTAGGCTTGAAGTAATAGTATGGTCAGTGTGAACTTGTGTTTGAAAAAAATCAAAGAAATCCTCAGCTGTTGAACACGTGCAAATAAGGAACATGTCGTGTGAAAGTTTGGTAAAGATCTGGTGTGAGTCAGTCTAAAAACTGATGTCTTTGGGTCTGTGATGTTAAAGAAGAATAAGAGGGTATCAAAGCAGCAGCCCCCCCGCTGAGCAGGTTCAACATCAGAGCGGCAGCACAAAGTAAAACTCCTTTTATTCTCCAATCAGCAGATGGAAACATCGCTGGAGCTTCATTGAAATGTACAACACTGATTCCAGCCATTCATGTCCAAAAGAACTTTCCCTCATGAGAAAACACACACACGTTCACAGATGCACACACATTTGAACACAGCACGGCCAGAAGAATCAAGACCACAGGCGGTCTTTGGCTGTGTTTTGACAGACCCCAGCTAAGTGTGAAAAACACAGCCCCCTCAGTCCTTTGAATGAAGCTGCTGTGGTGTGGACTACAAATAAATCTGGTTATCCTAAAAAAATTAAAAAGAAATCACAGAGAGAGACATCTAGTAAAAGTTTAACCTGGCTTATTCTGCCATTTGCTGCATCTTTGTTGAGCATGGCCCTGTGTTAGGCAAATGTATGCAAGTCTACATTCCATATTGATGATCATCAACAATTTCAGTAACAACCTCAGAGCATTAAAGCCCAAATCTTACTTTTTTGCCTTCGCAGACTTGTAACCAGACTTTTTTTTCCAGACAGAATAGCTGCAAGATGCCTGGGGATTGATGATAGTGATGATAATGTTTACTCCAAGTGGTGTTTTTCTGTTATTTACTCCTTTTGCTACACATATGCTTTCAATGGTAGTATTTGCACAGCAGAGATGTCCTCATGCATGTTAATAATATAAACACAGAAACAGCCATGGTATATCAGGCTTTTTCTGCAATAAGTTGGAGTAAATCTGACAGAAAATCTCAGTTGAAAGGTCCATGTGTTGGTGCAAGAATACCGAGGCACAAATACAATTGCCTTCTTTTATCTTTGAGACAGAAGTGACCAGATTTATGCCTTTTCGTGATATCTTAAAGCAAATGAGACCACCAAAGACAAAATGTATGGGTTTTTTATATCTTAAGTTTTAATCCATTAACTGGTATGAGGGGGTAGGTGTCTGCTGAGCAGCTGAAGAAGCTGCTGTGTTTCTATGATTTTCCATATAATATTTATGAAACATGTTACTGTCAAGAGTCAGTAGGTTGATATTTTGTCAAAATCGCAACCATGTAGGATGTGATAAGCAAAAACTGATTTGTCACCAAAATTGACACAAACCGGTCCTTTCAGAAATTTTAACTAGTTTGTGTGGATCCGAATCCACCTGATTCTGCTTAAAATGTGCAAAATTTCCTCTATGACAAACCAGTACATGTTGAATTTAGCTCTCAACCACTGTGCTCTATCAGGTGCATTGTTATCTTCAGGTCACAGGTAAGTAATTATCAGTATGTAAACTAAAGGTGCGTCTTACCCTTAAGTTGTCAGATACTACAGCTTTAATAACACCGTATAAACTCTTGCACTTGGCACTTTGTTGAATTGGGCCTTTGATGATGCCTCATGGATAACCACACAGTGATTTAATGATGTTTCTTTGAATGACTTTGTTTTATGTTTATACTTTTCTTTCCTGTATGGTTGTTCATGTCTTTGCCATTGGTGATTTTTAAGTTCCCGGTGCAATGTTAATTCCTGCTTGTAGTTTGAGTGCCATTAGTCAGTGAATATGGATGATAGTGATAGTTTTTTTAAATATATACATAAAAAATTAGCAAGTGAGATATGAGTTGTAACACATTTGTAAGGCCTTAAGGAAACACACATTTCCCTTTGGTTAAAAAAGGCAGAATCAAAAGCTAACGCTGTAACACAAAGCTCCACAGGGTCTGAATTTAGTACAACAGATTCTGCATACCTCCTTTATCAGCAGATGAGAAGCTCCTCTAAAGGCTGTGTGATGTCTGACACTTGGCTGACATCAAACTGTAAGCATTTTACAAAGTGTGTGTGTAATTGTGTGTGTGT